GTAGTCCCTTTTCCGAACTTCACGCTCCAAATCCCACTTCTGACCCTCACAAAGGTAGACGCGGTCGTAATACATTTGGCAAATCTCCTTCAAATCGTCTACAAAGAACATGGAGTGTCTCTCAGATATCTTCCATTCACGATACGGTTGTTTTCACTAAACAGCCAGGAGGCAAGGAGAGGAAAGAGAGAGAACTTTCAAACGAAATTTCGAACGCGTCGCGATCAAATGAGCGCTCGTAAGGGAACGTGTCCGTTTCGAGGCGATCGTGGATCATTTTTGCCCCGAACTCTCGGCGACGGAGTTCGAGATCATTTTCTTTTTTTTTTTTTGGACATCTCTCTCTCCCGCTCTGCTCGGGGCGATAATAAAAGTTGCGCGAACGCCGAATGCCTAATCGCGACGGTTTTTGTGCCCTCCTCGAGAAAAACTGACGCGAACGTGACCTGCTCTGAAATCTCCTTTCCGTTCAAATGGAAATCGTCCTGTCGGCCTCCACCTGTACCGAAACGACACACGAGGCAGCCGCTCCTTCGAAACTTCGATCCGCCGATCGGTAGTCGACTTGGGCTGAAATCGGTGATGCGAACCGCGTGCCCGGGAATAGATTTTTTCCCGGGGAGGAAACGCGTCGGTTCGAGCGAAGTTTCGAAGGCTCGTCGAGGGGCCGGCCGGCCAATCGCACGATCGAAGACGTGGCAAAAGTTAAATGAAATCCAAAATAAAAGAAAAGAATTAAAAAAAGACGTATCACGTGGGAGGCCGGACAAAAATAATCTTTGCATGAGGCTTTCTTTAGGCGAGCCGATCGTATTTACCTCGAATTCCCTCAACCTAATTTGCCTCTCGAGGTCAAACTTATCGCCCTCGAGCGCGTGTAGTCTGTTCCAATATGCCGAACAGATCGTCTGGAGCTCGGCTAAAAGCACAAAAGTTTCTCACAGAAGAGAGTGCGACATGAACGATGGAAGGACGCCGGTCCCGGTCATCCCTCGCTGTAAAATTACGTTTCTACCCTTCTATAATGTAACAATAATAAATATTCTGTTGTTCAGACGTAGCAGACGTGGATCTGGCTCGTTTCGAGCGACAAAATCTTACCCAATGACGGTGGTTCCTATCGTCGTTCTTGCGAGTACTTGCGATACAAGGGTCGGTTGCCACCAATATGGAATTCTACGTCAAGCTTTTCGAAAAATTTTGCGTTTCTTAAGCCGCTTGGAAGCGAGGTTGATAGAGAATGCATAGTCTGCGTCAAGATACGGAGTTTGAGTGGACCTTCGGGAGAAGATTGATCGGTTGCAGTGCCATAAGTGTCGAAAATGGGGTCACGAGAGGCGTGGAAGATCGGCCAAGTATACAGGGTGTTCGGCCACCCCTGGGAAAAAATTTTAATGGCGGATTCTAGAGGCCAAAATAAGACAAAAATCAAGAATACCAATTTGTTGATGGAAGCTTCGTTAAAAAGTTATTAAAGTTTAAAGTGCCGCCCTTACTGAATTTTTTTCTCGAAAATGCGCAAGATTTCGGGGGTATGTCTATTCACCAAAAATGACTGTAATTGAACCCTACAACCGAAAATAATTTTTCCACAACGATTTGCAATTTTTTTTCTCCGTTGAATGGCACCTAATTAGATTTTCAGTAAGGAATTTTTTTCTCGAAAGTGCGTACGATTTCGGAGGTATGTGTAATGATAAAAAATGATTGTAATTGACCCCCGCGACCGAAAATAATTTTTTTAGAACGATTTGAAAAATTTTTTTTCGCCGAAAAATTTCAGCACCTACTCGATTTTTTTTCTCGAAAGTAGATAGGATTTCGGTGGTATGTGTACTCACCAAAAATGATTGTAGTCGACCCCCGCAACCGAAAATAATTTTTCCAGAACGATTTGAAATTTTTGAATTTAATCGTTAATAACTTTTTAACGAAGCCTCCATCAACAAATTGGTATTCTTGATTTTCGTCTTATTTTGGCCTCCAGAATCCCCCATTAAAATTATTCCCAGGGTTGGCCGAACACCCTGTATATTTACTTTCCCAAAGTGCTATATTAATCTATTATTATGGAACTACCATACACGCGATCATTACGAAATTAATTTGACAGAGAGGTCGATTGATTTTCCAAAGCTAACGTTGCGTTACAGTATTTTCAAGTTATTATATTTTGGAAATTGTGTATCGCTGGTAGAATCAGTATTCCATATTAATGCAACGGGCCCTGCTGCTCTGTGCAGGGAGCTTAATCGCGGAAAAGGGGAAAAGAAAACAGGGAAACAGAGAGAATGAGATTTCTCGTATTGGAAGCAAGAAGCACGAAGCTGACAACTGCGCGAACGTTAACCTGACGCGAAGAAAGGAGATGTCGGGGAATTAAATGGATGGAACGTGTTCGATGCGGAGAATGGGAATAAATACTATTTGCCTACGCGCAAATAAACGTAACATAAAAGAAAAACAAAATATTGTTCTTTCTACTTCAAACCGCTCACGAAAGGATCTAGGTAATTCAGCGTTACGTGTATTATTTTAACATCTACTTGCTGCGATTCTACGTTTCGCGCGTGCCTGCTTTTGTTGGTCTTTCTGGTTTACGTTACGCTCGGCGAAAGTAAATCGAAACAGACGATAACAGTATCAAATGCAAGCTTGTAATCTTCTTAACGTTCCGAACCCCAGCGTTCGCGTGCTCAAAAACCGTGGGGGGGCAAACTGGAATTTACCAAAAATGAACACGTTGTTGTAATTGGAAAACGAGAATAACAAAAGTTAAATAGCGAAACCTTATTCTACTAAACGTTATGCATAGAAGCTGGAGTCAATTTAAAAGGATAACGAACACTCTAGATATGAAGATATAAACTGGATCTGTTATTAATTTAATGTTATTAAATTAGGGAGAATATAAGCTTGCCTCCAAGACTGCAATTGTCCATTTCGATCAGCTTAGGAGCATTCGTAAGCCGGTCAGAGTGTACTGATATTTACTCTACAAAAGTGTTTTCTAAACTATAGACAATTGGCGAGTACTACGTTAGAGTTTGGTGCAAATTAGAATGATATCAGCCTCGATGCCTAAGTTCAACGTCGTTAAGTTAACAGCCGAAACCTCTCAATCTCGTCAAACGGAAAAACGATTACTCAGCGTTGCGCTAGCAAAAAATTCCTTGCGTTCTAATGAGAAAAACGACTCAGAGGATCCAAAAAGACCCCCCACCCAAAAAAAAAAAATAAGAAAAAATAAAAAAGACAACGGAAGGAAAAAAAAAATGAAAGATTTATCTAATTTTTGCATCGAAAACGTTTTCGACCTCGAAATCCTTCTTGGCGACTTCGTACTCAAGGTCGTACTTCTGCCCCTCGAGAACGATGATCCTCTTATGATACTGGGTCAGAACGGACTTCACGCTAGCTGTCAAAATTCCAAGTCACCTTGAAAAATACTCCACCTTCTACTCTAATTGTTCTTTTTCAAAAGATACGCGGCGTAACAAAGAAAAAACATTAAATAAAATAAACATCGAACGAACTCGTTTATTGGTTCCCGTCGACGAACGAACGTGGGGGGGGGGCGGGGGCGGGGACAACGTGTAAAAGCAGAGGACAAGTGTGGCGGAGAGACTGGCGTCAAAAGCTGAATAAAAATCGACAACGACGTCACACGAATCGCGGTTGTGTTGCTCATCGAGTGGACGGGTTTGATCTATTCGATCGGCGATCGAGCACGGATCCTACGGTTGCACCCGATCGACACGCGACAGACGAGCTACGCTCGAACATTTGGGGAGCGAATGCAGATAAACATAGAAAGCAGAATAAGATTACGTGTACGTCGAAACCAACTTTCGCCTCGAAACCAAAATCGGTTACCAATTAATATCGTAAGTAATACGCCGTTACAAAAGAAATAGCAGTGGTGCGACAATTTGTGAGAACACAAGTTAATTATTACGTGTATAATCCACGATTACCCAAAACTTAAAATACGACGTGGTAATAGCATTAAACGAAGAGCGAAAGACGTATAGGTCGCGCGCACAAAAGAATGCGAACAGAAAAGAGTGTGCGAAAAAAAAAAGAGATAGAGACAGAGAAAAGTATAGCTGTGTTATGTCAAATAGACGAAGTACAAAAAAAAAAAGAAGAAATGTACGAAGAGAAATGATAAATAAAAAAAAAAAAAAAACTAGAAACGAAGAGACGAAATGCGAAGCTCGCGACACTTGCCCGGATTGCGGGAACGCGACCATCGATTATAGCGAACGATGTTTCGGCAAAGAGCTGGTATAGACTAATAATCGACCGATAATTAAAAATTAAACGAAAGAAACCATAAGTAACGCATATCGGTTGAGGGAGATCTATTTTTCTATTTCATTTTTTGTTGCATAAATCGCGTCTATAATATATCAGATTTAGCCTGCGATAAAGTCGACCTATTTTCCGGGACATCGGAGCCATTAAAGCCAATATTCTATGTTATATGTAATTTTGTCGTAAATGAACAGCAACATGATTAATCATTCATTATTGATCACCTATATGTACTAAATAGCCCTCCTGTAAAAAAGGGGACTCCCAGATAGGGGACGCTAGCTTTCCTAAAAAATCCACCGGAAATTGTATGTTAGATTGATAAAAGATGTCTTGTCCTTTTGTACGACTGTGGTAACGTCGCGAGAATAGGTTTACGGATCGAGAAAGTATCAAAATACCCGTCGTATAGTCACAGCAATATAAATACACCGTGGTCGTATAAATAAACGCAATGTTACCGTTGCATAATGGTCGTTCCAACTGTTTCGAGCTCTTTGCCAAACGCACTCGAGGATACGCGGTTCCTTCGTCATCGACTACGAATTGCAACCGGGCAAGCGCGACACGTTACTCAAATGCAACAACATTGAGCATCGTTGTTACTGTGATGTCGTGAATGCCTCGTTATTCGCACGTCCCGTAAACGTTCTCGAAACTCGTTTCGTTCTTTCAAGTACCTCGAAGTCCTTCTTCTTAACAACATATTCGAAGTCGAATTTTTGATCCTCCAATGCCGTGATCCTATTGTGGTACTCGCGCAGCACGCGCTTCACGGTCTCTGTGTGGATGAAGGTGAAAAAGATCGGACAAAATTCATCATACTCATTCAAGCACGAGGGGGTAACGATCGTTTTCTTTGTTCGGGCTTGTTGCGAACAGAGCGCCACTATACGAGCCGTTCCACGATCGAATCGATCGCTTTTGTACCTCCGGGACCGGAATTTTGACGACGTTTAAACATGTTTGCGGCCCGTACGAAATTATGAGAAGGGGTATCAATCAATTTTCGTTCATCAATTCTCGTAATTGTTCCAAAAATATTCCAGCTTCCTTGTTCTTAAAACAATTACAAAACTAAACAGAAAACGATTACTCGGACCTCTCCTCCAAGTTCGATACAGACCCTAACATATTTCAATATCAAAATTTTCGACCTCGAGGGACGAAAATGATCGATTTGGGGGGGGGTGGAATGGCTCGCACGCGTCAGGTGTCGTAAAGCAACCGTCGTGTCCCGAGAGTTTGCGTGGACTTCCTTCACCGATGCGTGTACGTGTGTGTGTGTTTGTGTGTGTTCTTCGTGTGCACGACGTGGAGGGAATCTATGGGGGGGGTTGTAGTTCGTGAAACGGTCGAGTCTCGGATATTAACGAGCATTGTAAGATAATCGAACTTACTGTCTGAAAATCCCATCAACGGAAACGTGCGGAGAGACCGTCTGCAAAGAAGCGGATAAAACGAGCGGAAAACACGATCGATTCGAACGAGCTTCTACTATCGATGAATCACTTGTTCGCGTTTCCCTCGAAACCGAAAGATGCAGGCCACTCGGAGAATAACCCTTTCGTTTCGATTTCAATGAACCTGCGTCGAGGGTCTCGCTCGACTCTCGACCCTGAACGTACTTTATGCAGTTCTAATTCGTACGACGAGCACCCGATATGAGAACGCGATTACGGTGTTATTCGAGCAGAATCTTTGAAAAGCTTCGAAATACCTTCGCTCGCGTCGTCGACGTTCTTCGGTTTTCCGCAGCGCTCCTCGATGATGCGCCTCCTTTCCGCGGCTTTTCTCTCTTGTTCCTTCTTCAATTCCTCGGCGGCTTTCTTACGCAGCAACAACTGAAAAGACACCACCGGAAACTCTTGTAAACCATTATCAATTTTAGCTGTACACTTTGGTTTCGACTACACGCGCAACAAATAGTTACGAAACAAAAATATGAAATCAAAGTTACGCGTGATGGAAACCGTGTTATAAGAGGGCACTTTGTACCGGGCAGGAAACAAAGGAAAGGATTAAAAGGAAGTTATGAGAATACAGGAATTACAGCGCGACCCAGCCGTGCTAAAGATTCTTAATTCCCTTAACGGTTGAAGTTCCCAAGGAGAAGTTCGTTCAAAGCGTTACGTCCGCGAACAGGGAACTTTGACCGGGTAATAATTAAAAGACTATAACGCGGCGAGATATTACCAAAGAATGGAAATGTAAACTTACCCTAAGCTTCTTCTTCCTGTCAGGGGTCATGAAACCCTTCTTCGCCTTCTTGGCTTTGGAAGCCTCTTCGAGGCGGGCGCGGACCTCCGCCCTCTTTCTGTCGGTCTCCGCCTGTTTCCTCTTCTTTTCCTACATTTCCCGTGCGAAACTCCCTTAAAACATCTCATCTGACAACGGTTTCGATGCAACGTACAACAGAGAAACTCGAACGAACGTGTATCGCCCGATTTATCTCGAATTACAAAATATGAAAAATAAATACGATACAGGGGGCGAGATCGTTAAGGAACAAAAGGGGTTCGAAATGATTCCCGGAGTTTCCCTCTGATACGATAAACTGTCGCGATAGCCATTCGATTAGCGTGGGCCACCGACGAGTTATTGAAAAAGTTCCGCGCCCTATCGTCCTTTTTCCTCCTCGACTTTTTAAGCTTCACCGATAGTTTCCCCTCTTACGTACATCCTCGAGACGTTTCCTCTGTAAAGAAAAAGAGACAGAGTCCGTGAGTAAAAGTTTTTCAGGCCAATTCTCCGCGGCCGGAAAACGAAACAACGTTTAAACCGTACATGATAAATAAATGTTTCCGGCAGAAACCGGCTGAAACGTGTTTCGAGTTCCGCGTTCGAAAGTGCTCGCAAAAAGCGTACGTAAAGCGACACTGTTTTGCGTGATTTGCAGCTGCACGAAACGCGGCGTGCAATGTTTTCTGGCCGCGGCGCGAATTACTCTGTTCAATTTATGCAAGTTCCAATAGTTCGTTCCGACAATTACCGGCATGCAATAATTTCTATAGTCTCGTACGACGAGTATCGAAGATATTGCAAGAAATCGACAAACTGTGCGGGACAACGTTTAGTTCGACACACGGTAAACAACGGAAGCGTGAGGTGCATGCGGCGCGCAAGAATGGACGTCACAGGTCGCAGGACTTTGAAATATATTTTGTCTTTCATGCGACTATGGTATCTACATTACCCCAGGTTTGTTCTGGTTATCTACGTTGCTCGTGCTTGGAGTTCTAGGTATCGCTACAGAGTCTTTTTGCTACTCTAAGTACTTGGTCTTGGTGCCACTTCCGGGCAAGAGGATGGCACAACAAAAATTTTGGCACAGCGTAATTTCTAATATCTTCTAGCGAACTGATATCTCTTAGGCGTGTCGACAGTCTCGTACAAAGGAAACTTTTCAATCTTCCGAAACAATAATCGCGTTAACTTCTTCCTTGCTCAACTTCTTCCCTCGCCTCGACGAATGCAAATAGTTCGATATTATTCAATTACTTAAAATCTAAGTGAACTAAATTATCCGACACGTTCCCTCTGACGGGAAGTTCGACGGACATTAATAATTGTTACGAAACTTTTAAACACGCTGTCTTTTCCTCCCCCCCGACTGTTTCATAATAAATTCCAAGAAACAATTACTTCCGCGACATTTATGAGACTACGAACGCGGAGAATATCCTGTGTGCCGATCTTTTTGCCCGGGAGCGTATAGTAATGGAAAAGTAACGATTGTTAGACGTCTCTACGGAACGGAAGGGGAATCAAATTGCGCAGAAGATCAGGTATTTCTTAGTTTTCCAGGTAAAAGATTTCTTTCATTTGGAACGAATCACCGGGAAAGAGGAAGATTCGCGCGAAGGTAAGTCTAACAGAATTCTAATATTTTCCGAGCCCAAGAGCAATATCTTCCGCGCCAATTTGAATGTAAAACGGGAACGAAGACGGACGAACTTCGGGGAAGAGAAAAGAGGCTCTTCCAGTCAAGGGGTTCAAGAATATAAAGGTATAGAGATATCGGCGAAACATTCTTCCAATCATGGGGAAAAAGTACAATGGATAGGGGACGGTGGGGTGGAAGTAACGATAACCGTGAAATAAAAGAAAAGGAGAAGGTCGGGAAATGGCTGGTACATCGAGGGGAACGCGACACGGGGTGGTAAATAATGTCGAAATAAGGAGGAGAATGTGACGATAAATCAGAACAGAAATCCAACCCCCCCGCGGAGTCGACCGACATGTCGGGCGTAATACTTCCGGATCTATCTCTTGCTTTCCGGAGTGGATGAAATTTTACGCTTATACTCGGAGAAATGTACCTCCCGGTACCCGCGAACGAAACATCTTATCGACTACCGACACTTTCGGTAACAGTTTTCTATTTTTATTCCCGAACGAACGCCGACAATGCCGTCAAGCTAGACGTTTCTATTTACCGTACGCTACGATCTATTATTTTTACAGAAAATGTTTCTCCAAACCGACCTGGGTGTTTCGAGGGATCGTCAAAATACATTACTTTAAAAATTGAATTTACAGAGTTGCTTCAAGCTTTATCTTTTAGCTGATTCTTGCGTCCGATTGGGGGGAAGAAAAATTTCTCGCGAGCAAAATCAGGGAGAATGCAAAACGATATCGAGGGATTTGGTTTCTCGACGTTCCTCCTCGAAAGTAGGCCGATATTACGGCAATCCGATATTCCATAAAGAATAAGGAGGCGAGGACGGGGAAATAGAAAATGTCAGGATTGGGGGGACCTCGCAAGGGCTTCTATAATTCAATGTGACAATTACAACGAGTAAATAAACTTCTAGGATCTCCGCGTTATTCCACGGGAGGTATAAAAAAAAACTACCATCAAACTGCGTGGGCTCGCTGTCGACCACTTTTTTTACTGCGAAAAGAGGGTACATAAAAGGTTGTTCGGTCGATATAGAATTCCGATTCGATCGAAGCTTCGCCGTCACTGGGAGCTTCTTTTTGCCCGTATGTTACGTGTCGGGCATAAAAACTAATCAATCCCAAAAAATCAAAATGCAAAAGGTCGGAAAAAATCCGTGTGTAAAAAGTTCCCTGTGCAAAGGTAACAGTGTTGGTTTGTTGATTAATTGTACGGTTTGCTCGAATTAATTGTCTAAACGGGAAGTCCTGTTTTCAAGGGCGGGAATATCACAAGCACAAAGATCACACGAGCGATGCGTACCTTTCAAAGACATTAATTTTACTGCTCGATCCAAACGGCACAGGAGGATCCGTTGTCCGCCATTTTCGCGTAAAGTGCGAGAGTTCAGGTGCGTCGAGTATCCGTAGACGAAGAGACATAAAAGGGGAGAGAAAATTATGTTAAAACGTGCACGATCTGCACCGTGTTTCCTCGTCTTTTACAGTATCGTTAAATGATCGTAAGTGTTGCAAAATCATCGTCCCATCGGAGATCCTTCCAATACCCACCTAACCTCATCGTCCGCCATCTTGGATTCTGGCTGCTACACGCGTCTACCTAGAAATACAGGACAAAAACGGCTGATTCACGTTTTGCAAGCAATTTGCTATTGTTTATAGATACTGGGAAAAAATTTGAAGGGACGCGATTTTATCGCGATGAAACAGAATTTCGAGCCATTTCGTTTATGAAAAAAGCACGGCTTCATCCCCCGACTGCGTTTTAAATATTAAAATAAAAGCAATATGTCCGTTGGATGCGCGCACGGTCGTATGGACGTGTGTTTCATGATTTTTAACTGAATTCCATTCAAATGGCTGAATGGATTCGAACGAAACCGTAAGCTTTATTACATCCCGAATAAAATCGTCCCGCTGATAATGGCTTTTCCGATACCAATTTATTGTTTATAACCTTTTAAAAATGGCTTTAAATAAATCTGACGGGGAATTAAATTTCACGGTATACTTTCAGGAACAATTAAAACACGAAGACGAACCGAATGGCTGGTGACTTGGATGTGCATCAAGAAAGGTCTTTCGAACTCGAATCTCGTTGCATCGAGATTTTACAGCGTAATGATAAAATAGCGTTACGTCATAACGGCGCGTAATGCGCGTCCAGCGGACCAGAATTGAGTTTTGGCTGTTCAACCCGATTATTTAATAATTCTAGAGTCAGTAAATGCAGTTGTAAATAAAAATTTCATACTTCTTTAATTTTTCTAATACGCGTGTTTGATGTTATTTACTCTTTACAATTTTAACTCGCAATTATTTTGTCAAGTTATCTGCATCCAAACGCGGAGGAATCGAACGACGCCTTCTGATCGAAATAGACGCGCATAAAATCGAGGGGAACCGCATAAATTTCGAGCCTGGCCCGGCGTGGGGACACAAACATTACGCGATTGTTAAATATAAATGCATGTAAAAGGGGTTGAGTGGAGGATGTTCGGGTTGCGTCATCGGGGCGCATCAGATTTTCTTTCGACCGGTCAGTGACAGCCGTTCTCGCGGATCCGAATGATAAATTGCGGGTTCCGCGCCTAATATTCGGTCGCTCGGCGAGCACGGACAACGACGACGGTGTAGAATATCCGGTGCTCGAAAATAGACACGCGCCGGACCCGTCGTCCCCACTTTTCGAACCGTCGCCGTCGACGTCGACGGGTACGCGCCACGATCCAAATTTGGACGCGAACGACCCGGTAGATTCTCACGTTCTCCTCGATCTCCGGCTCGATTCGACGTCGAAAACGGAAACGGCGTGCGAATCGAACCGAAGGAAATCGGCCGGACCTCGAGGATCCGAGAGTTCCGCTCGTCCTCCGTCTACGTCCAAGTAGTTTTCGATGTTGGCGAAAGAACGAAACGAAAAACTCGAAATTACGGCACAGTTCGCGGACCCTCGGGTTCCCAGAACGCGTCAGCGATTAGAAATAAAGTGGTTAAATATAGAAACTAGGATACGGTTGTTTTCCTAACTCGAAACAACACGCGTGACCCGATGGGAGGGGAACGATCGGGATTCCTGACCTGGTAGAAAATTTGAAAAAATAACGATCGACGACGAAGATTCGAAGGGGAAATGTTTTAAAGATAGCTTCGAAATTGACTGCGTCGATCGTAGAGCCTATTTTCGTCCACCGGTTGCTGCACTCGGTAATGACATTTCGTTCTAACGATCAATTATGTCGCGAGGCTAACGTCTTTCATTCCTGGGCGCCGTGGAATTCGTTTGCGAAATATATTTGTTCGCCCCGAGCACGAGATGCAACGACAACGAAAATGATCTCGATCGTGATAATCGGGAAACGTTTCGACGAGGGTGAATTTTATTCGATCGTCGGTAAGCGGCGTGACGCGTCTCCTTTTATATTTGTAATGGATGATCGCGTTCGCTAAGTATAGATTCCCTCTCGCTCGAGCCATTCCAAGACACGTCCCACCGAGACTCCGATGTGTGTCTCGTCTCCGATGTCAAAGAAGATCCCCCGGCACCGTAAAAATAGAAAACACGCAGAGTCTACCGCGAACGATCCACGATACCTTGCGGACGACTCCGTGGATCGGAATCGCTCGATCTGCGTGCTCCCTTTTTCTAGAAACCGAGAACCGTCGTGGAAGACATCGGTACCATCCGTCGTGGCAAAATCCAAGTCGAGATATTGGCAAGTCTTAACGAAAGCGAACTGTATCGTTCGCCGGAGTTATATTTATATTACTGGCACAAGGCTGTTTACGTAGACCACGCGTGGTTTATCGCGTCGCAACCGATCGTTAAAAAGAACACGAGTCGAAATCGTCGGTCGAGACGCCATTGCCACTACGAAGGAGATAGACTCGAACCCATCGCGGGCGATCAAAACATGGGAAAATTCCGATCTCACATCGTGTTCCCGGGGTACACAGAATTTTTTCTCGTGACTCTTTACGCCAAACTTTCGATTCAGCGTCCACGTATTCGCGGAAGAGTACCAAGGAACATGGAGAACCACGAGGTTCCCCTGTCACTTGGTGGGTCGCGTCACACGCAGATTCTCACAGGGACCGCGTTTTCGACCTGGGATCGTCACAATTCCTTGGGGGGCAGGAGTATCGAACAAGTGGATCAACACACTCGTGACCTTGAAAAAAGTCTCTCTGTTAAAGCACCTCTCTCACTGACACTCGATACGACGAAAGAGGAAGTCGCCCGGGGGGGTCGATCGGTCGGTCGGTCGTTTCGAGGACGGAAATCTTCGGATCCTGAAGAATTACCACGCAGATACCCGGCGCGTTCCAGGCGGTTTCCGGTACGGTGTACGACGATTTCGCTTACCTTGAGAAGAACTTTCCTGGCTGCGACTGGCCAACCGGACCTTAGGCAGCTGACTGTGCCATCGTGGATCCCTAGTCGACGTCGTGAACCTCCATCGTAGCCTGTTCACGTGGTAGCCGCCGACCAATGACGGCTCGCCATTGGTCGTAAGCATTTTTAGGCGAGAGCTCTGCCCGCTCCGCTTGCTGCCAAAAATAATCGGAAACTGAAAACGGAGCCGAGCCTGCTTCGTTCACCGCTCGCTTGCTATGCTCAATCTCTCTGTTGCCTTCCAACGCACTTCATTAAAGGAATATTCCGGTCCAGGATTTTCAAAAAATCACACGGCTTCGAAAATACTTTAACGCGCTTTCCACGAAACCTTATTCCGAGATCACGAGATCCAGCAGCCGGATTCAAACTTGGGGGAAATCAGTCAGCGACTACTCTTTTACCGCCTGAATTAGGAATTTTAGTTTGTTCTCTGTTAATATGCCGGACACGATATGATAAAGATATTTCCCCCCTTCTCGCGATGAGACTTTCATCGATGATCTTTGCTTGAAAAAATACTGTACAACTTCAGAGCATCGACGTATGTAAGGAATCCCAATGCAAAGGAGTGTACAGGGTCCTTTATAAAAATTAATAACCAGTTATTTTGCTACTTAGGTAGACCGTACACCTGCTATTCGTTCATAGAGAAAGGAAAATGTGCGTCTGCATGTGGCTTCTCCCGCCTGGTTCTGATTCAACGGGGATCGTCAATTACTTGGCTAAGTGACAGTTCGAATAATGTGTGCAATCGGAATTTAGAAGTCACAGATATCGTAGGAGTATCCCCGAAGAGCGTCGAGGCAGAACGAGGATATTATTAACGTATCGTTCTGGATTTCGTGTGCGGCAGCTGTTTGGCACTAAACGTGGTAACGCTGACGGAAACATCGCCGGCTAAACGTAACACTTACGATTCCACTCGATATGTAATATTTTCACCGAATTCTCGACCAGACCTCTGACCCCCGCAAGTTAAACTCGAAACACTGATATACCAAATAAAGAGTCCTTCGTCTCGAACTATTAAAAAACATCTTTTGCTTCCGAATCCCGATACCTTTGCTCCCATATCGGTAGTTACTAAATCGTCGTGCACGTAAATGCGCCTCTTTTGAACTTTTCGGTACGAATTCGCGTGAAGTTCGTGTGAAAAGTGGTCACAACTCAAGAGCTCCTGTACAAAGAGTTAATACCGAATTTGATGAAGGTACTTCTAATGAGCACGGCGATTCAGTGCAGCGATCGTATGACAAATTTGACACCGTTGATGAAAGCCTCTGTAATGGAGCGCGAGGAGGATCGGATTAATGACCAGTCAAAGGATTCTATTGCGTTAAATTCGTGTCGAAACGTTCAAGGACTCGACAAAGGATCAACGGCTGCTTCTACCTGCCGTTCTTTGGAATTTTAACTAGAAATTATTTTATAATTTTCCCTGCCTTCTTTCAGCTTCGACTGGAGTATCGAAGGAGGGAAATTCGAACATTTCGAATGCTATGAAAAATAATCGATATGCGAGAAAATCGAGATACTCGTCGGTGTTAAAGTCACGCGGCTAAAGTAGAAAACGGTGGGTCAAGTAGAATTGGTCCTGTTTCGTCAGACGAACGGTACAAACAAGGTATGGAATAGACGTTGCACGCGATGCTTTTTTCGCGATCATTTCCGTGAAACTACCAACATTATCGATCAGACTGGAATTCGATTTTAGCACTCTCAATGTATGGAATTAAGACGAAATATTGGAAGAACTTAGTTATTTCAGGAGCAATCAAAATTATGCGTATATTGTAACGTAAAATACACTCATCCAAAATGGAGCAAAATATTAAAAAGATCTATGCATCATTTTATAAGATCCTTGTAAGAAGTCTTTAATCTTCGACTTTGCAATGATTTTAATGGGTCGTTTGAAAAGTTATTCTTCGTGTGTAACACCGAGCCAATGGCGGCGAATTTAAAATAGTTTCATTATTTCTATTATTAATAAATAGTTTCTCGAGTGACCGCCACAGACGAGGTATACCTCCAGAGTCCTATTTGAATCCTATTACGAGAGATGGCAGAAGCTATTTGCCAAGAAAGATTGTTAATTTATTCGCTGCCGATCACATAATCGCGCGAAGAAACCACAGACGAGGTGTACGAGTAAACCTTTCGCCCTATGGACTTTCGTGATCCAATCTGACTGCAATACCGACCTGAAAATTCGAAGGTGATTTTAGCGGCCTCTTCTCATGAATGGCGGTCAGTTGAGAAACTATTCACTGAATTAGTATTGATGGGCAGACAGCTGCAGTGTGCGCGTAAATACATGCGAGTTGACTATAGAAGGGATTAAAATTCATTTTTGAATCTGTTGGTAACGTTGCGAGTGACACGAAAATGGTAATGGGGGTTTCGAGACCCCATAAAAATGGACCGAAAATATACATTGAAAGATCTACTCGTATACCTCGTCTCTGACAATATTCTACAATCTTTGATGAATCGATGAGAATCAAAACTAATCTAGCGAAGAAGATCTATATTTCTGATGACCTATGCAAGGCGGATCGCAGCCAATTTGCTAATATTATTTAGTTTTTAATTAATAACTGCATTACCCAGCTAAAAGTGATACGATTATTAATTAAACGCTAAATAATACTACCCGGGTCCCACCACGTGGAGGTTGCTGCGAATGGAGACCCGCCCTAACCGATTCCCAACCACCCTCCATTAATAAAGATCTTTTCTGAGCAACGATCGTTCGTCGAAGAAGCAATAAACGAAAGTGCAACCAACGAAGGAAACAACCAACGAAAGAGTTTTTTGAGAAAGAATATAATGATTGATATTGAGAACCAAACTCCTACTTAATTATAAATCTAAATTCATTTACATCCTACCTATCTATATCATCTAACAAAATACATAGAAAATATATTCTTCCTTGTTAAATTTTACCTAACTATAAATTTAAATTATTAAAACCTATACTAAGCAATCTGAAACAAAATACATGGAATACATTCTTCTTTCTTTATTCTTCTATTTATCCCACGATGATTTCCTGAAACACAAACAAACCAATATCAAACAAAATTGTAACAATTCTTAATTGC